AGACCGAGGTGTCAGTCAGGTGTCAGGATAAAAAACATTCTATTAGCTGATGAGGCCGAAATACTCATTACCTGTGAGAGATGACTGGCCCTTGACCGTGATGGACAGGAAGGAGGAGGGCGGAGGGGGGAGGGAAGAGGGAGGAGGGAGGGAGGGAGGGAATGAGAGAGGGTAGGGGAGGGAGGGAGGGAGGGAGGGAGGGAGGGAGGGAAGGGGAAGAGGGGAGGGAAAGTATGAGGAATAACTGGCCTGTAACTGTGATGTAAGGGAGGAAGAGGAGGAACAAGGAAGGGAGGAGGAAACAAAGGAGATAGAATAGAGGAAAGGAATGAAGGAAGGAGGGAAGGAATGAGAGAAGGATAAGGAATGAGAAGGAGAATACACAATGTTCCATCCCTTAAAACCAACAGAAAATTTAAAGTTACCCTTAAAAAAATGACTAAAAATTACGTAAAAAAAAAAGTTCCACCCATTAAAAATAGTTAGAACTTGTCTTTCTGAAGCTCCTTAAAAAACTCAAGTTTTAATTACGAGTCAAGTCGACGGTGAACCCACGAGTGACAGCCTGGGGAGGGTGAGAGAAAGTGAGAGAAGGTAGGAGAGAGAGAGAGAGATAAATTGAATTGAGGCTAAAAAGAGAAAGTAAGAAGAAAGGTAAAATTAAATGGGAAACTAAACAGAAAGCAAAGGAAAGTATCGATGGAAAGAAAGTTCCTTCTCGCTCTCTCTCTCTCTCTCTCTCTCTCTCTCTCTCTCTCTCTCTCTCTCTCTCTCTCTCTCTCTTTCTCTTTGTTTGTGTCTGTGTATCTGCCTCTATTTCTATGTGTGTGTGTGTGTCTTTCTCTCTCTCTCTCTCTCTCTCTCTCTTTCTCTCTCTCTCTCTCTCTCTGTGTATCTCTCCATTTCTCTCTTTGTCTCTCTCTTCCTCTCATAGTTTCTTCTGACCTACATTCTTGTTCTCTTCCTCTACATCCTCCTTTACCAATCTTCCCTCTTCCTTATCCCATTCTTCCAATTCGTCTCTTCCTCTTCTTCCTACTCCTCTTCCTCCTCCTCCTTCTCTTTCTATTCAACTTTCTCCTCTTCCTTCCCCACCTCCTTCTCCTCTTTCTACTCCTCGTACCCCTTTAATTTCTCCTCCTTCTTCTTCCTACTCTCCTTTCTCTTCCACTTTCTAATCCTCTTCTCAGTCTTCTTCTTTCTCTACCTCTTCTCTCACTTCTCCGCCTCCTACAAGGTACACGAGAGAGAGAGAGAGAATAAGGAACACCATTTTTCACCAATCACAATACCAGGTTGTCAATGCCGGGCTCTGATTGGCTACTTGGCTCATGGGCAAGTTCTGATTGGTTGGTTTGATTCCCCCTTCCCTTTGATCAACGAGCCAATAACATCTCTTTCATTTTTTGTACCTCCATTGACTGGTTGGTTTCCTCCCCAGACTGTTTCCCGAGACATGCTAGAGACTGTACTTGTCAACAGTGCGTAACAGAGACGTGACCGACCGCCCAAGCGACTAACGAGCCTATCAGTGCTGAAGAGGATAAAAGATTAAAAATACAGTGTTGCGGAATAAGGTGTAAATTCCCATAGACTTTTTGAAAAAATATAAAAACGGAAAAAACTGTCAAATTTGAGGCCTGGATCCGGCCCTAAAATTTGATCATTTATATTTTTTAAGATTTGGTTTCTCAAAAAAAGTCTATGGTTGTTTTACATATAATTCCGCAAAGCCGTACTTTTAATCAATAATTAACTAATATTTATCTCGATAAATGTATATTTCGCCAGATATTTCAGCATTTATTTTTTTCATAAAATAAAACGAAGTAAGACTGTTTATACACCTATGACATTTTTCTCTCGTTTTACCCATAACCAAGATATCGGGAGTTGAAAATCAGAAAACTACACAACTAGAAAACCTATTATTATATTTCTGGCCACCAACCGGATCTGGGGATTGTTCTTTTCAAATAACAGCTTAGTCGACAATTATAAGAAGAGGGACAGGGGAGGGTAGAAGAGAGGGAGGCAGAGGGGATAAAAGGGGAGAGGGAAAGGAAAGGTAAAGGGGAGGTGGATGTGAGAAAGTGAGAGAAGAGGGAAGGAGAGAGTAAAGGGAAGGTGGAGGTGGGAGAGAAGAGAGGGAGGAAAGAGGAAGAGTGGAGAGAGAGTGGAGCGAGAGGAGAGGTAGTGTCGAGGGAGATGAGAGGGAGATGGGGGAGAGGAGAGGGGGAGGGAAGAGGGAGAGGTTAGCGTGGCGCCAGACGGACTGGGCTGCTTGTCAGACGGAAGACGAAGGAAAATTAAGAACGATGGAGGAAAGAGGGAGGGGAAAATGACATGGAGATGGAGGGAGGGAAAACAAAGATGGAGTGACAAAGAAAGATAAGAAGAAAAACAACAACAACAACAACAACAACAACAACGACGATGACGACAACAAAATAGAAAATTAAAAGATGAAAGTAAAGAAGAATGATAAGAAAACAACAACAGCAAAACAAGAAGAAATGGAAGAAAGAGATGAAAGGAAAATTAAGAGTAACCGGAGGAGAAAGCACGTTGAGGAGGAGGAAAAAGTGGAAAATGAGAGAGAGAGAGAGAGAGAGAGAGAGAGAGAGAGAGACTACAGACAGAGGGGCAGACGAGAAACAACATGACAAGAGAATACACAGACACACAGACACACAGACAGATAGACACAGACAGACAGACAGACAATGGCAAACACTTAGGAAATTTACGAGTATTCAGTGAAATGACGATTTTCTGTTTTATGAGTCTAAGGGGAGGGAGAAGGGAAGGGAAGGAGGGACAGAAGAATGGAAGTTAGGGAGGGAGGGAAGGAGGTAGGGATGGAGGGAGGGAGGGAGAAAGGGAGAAAGGAAGGGGCGGAGGGAGAGAAGAAAGGAGGGAGAAAGGAAGAAAGGAAGGGAAGGAGGGAGAGAAGAAAGGAGGGAGAAAGGAAGAAAGGAAGGGAAGGAGGGAAAGGTGAAAGGGAAGGAGGGAAAGATGAAAGGAGGACGGGAGGAAGGGAGAAAGAGGAATGAGGGAGAGAGGAAGGGAGAGAGAAAGAGGAATGAGGGAGGGTTCTAATAGGTTTTCTTATATTCAACTCTCTATATCTCAGTTATGGGTAAAATGCACCAAAAATCTCATACCTAAAAATCGTTTTGTTTTTATCTAAACTTATCATTAGCGTCAAAACCAAACCAATATCAAATTATGTCCCGTACTCTATATTAACCATTATTTAACCCGAAAACACACATACAAAAAAATAAAATTAAAAAATTGAGAAAAGAAACATATTCACACACAATTATTACACAGAACAAATACATCAATTTAAGAGACGCGAAAAGTAATGAAAACAAAAAAATTGGGGAGGATTTTACGAGTCATGAATTTATAAAGTTTAAAGTTGGTATCCTGAATCTCTCTCTCTCTCTCTCTCTCTCTCTCTCTCTCTCCTTTTCTTCCTCTTTCTTTCTCTCACTTTCCCATGGGCAGCGATGGGAAAGAGGCGGTAATGGGAAACAAGTGGGCGGTGATGGGAAGTAGGTGTGCGGCGGTGATGGGAACTAAGTGGGCGGCGGTGATGGGAACTAAGTGGGCGGGGGTGATGGGAACTAAGTGGGTGGGGGTGATGGGAACTAAGTGGGCGGTGGTGATGGGAACTGAGTGGGCGGTGGTTATGGGAACTAAGTGGGTGGGGGTGATGGGAACTAAACGAGCGGGGCTGATGGGAACTAAACGAGCGGGGGTGATGGGAACTAAGTGGGCGGGGGTGATGGGAACTAAGTGGGCGTGAGAGGAACATACTGCTCGAGGTATAATAGTGGCTTGGACGCACCTCTTACCCTTCCCTTAGTGGCGTTCCGCTGGGTGGTTTATGGCGCACTGGTAACTATTATGGTTATGGTGGTGCCACTACGTTCGGCTCTGGCACTACATCATGGTCCTGGCACTGCATCATGGTCCTGGCACTGCATCACGGTTCTGGCACTGCATCATGGTCCTGACACTGCATCATGGTCCTGGCACTGCATCATGGTCCTGGCACTGCATCATGGTCCTGGTACTGCATCATGGTCCTGACACTGCATCATGGCCCTGGCACTACATCATGGTCCTGGCACTGCATCATGGTCCTGGCACTGCATCACAGTTCTGGCACTGCATCATGGTCCTGACGCACATGTGGTCCTGGCACTGCATCATAGTCCTGGCACTGCATCACCGGTCCTGACACTGCATCACGGTTCGGCACTGCATCATGGCCTGGTACTGCATCATGGTCCTGACACTGCATCATGGCCCTGGCACTACATCATGGTCCTGGCACTGCATCACGGTTCTGGCACTGCATCATGGTCCTGGCACTGCATCATGGCCTTGGTACTGCATCATGGTCCTGACACTGCATCATGGCCCTGGTACTGCATCATGGTCCTGACACTGCATCATGGCCCTGGCACTACATCATGGTCCTGGCACTGCATCATGGTCCTGGCACTGCATCATGGCCCTGGCACTGCATCATGGCCCTGTCACTGCATCGCCATTCCTGGCACTGCATCATGGTCCTGGCACTGCATCATAGTCCTGGTACTTTCATCATGGTCCTGACACTGCATCATGGCTGGCACTATCCCATAGTCCTAGCACTGCATCACAGTTCTGGCACTGCATCATGGTCTGACACTGCATCCACAGTCCCTGATGACACTGCATCACAGTTTCTGGCACTGCACATCACAGGTCCTGACACTGCATCATGGTCCTGGCACTGCATCATGGTCCTAGCACTGCATCATGGCCTAGTGCTGCATCATGGTCCTGACACTGCATCATGGCCCCTGGCACTACATCATGGTCCTGGCACTGCATCATGGTCCCAGCACGCCATCATGGCCCTAATTGCACATCATGGTCCCTGACACTGCATCCATGGCCCTGTGGCTCCTGCATCATAGTCCTGGCACTGCATCATGGCCCTGGCACTGCATCATGGTCCTGACACTGCATCATGGCCCTGGCACTGCATCATGGTCCCTGGCACTGCATCATGGCCTTGGTACTGCATCCATGGTCTGACACTGCATCATAGCCTGGTACTGCATCATGGTCCTGACACTGCATCATGGCCCTGGCACTACATCATGGTCCTGGCACTGCATCATGGTCCTGGCACTGCATCATGGCCCTGGTACTGCATCATGGTCCTGACACTGCATCATGGCCCTGGCACTGCATCATGGTCCTGGCACTGCATCATGGCCCTGGCACTGCATCATGGTCCTGACACTGCATCATGGCCCTGGCACTGCATCATGGTCCTGGCACTGCATCATGGCCTTGGTACTGCATAATGGTCCTGGCACTCCATCATGGCTCTGGCACTGCATCATGGCCCTGGCACTGCATCATGGCCTTGCCCCACATAGGAGTGACAGTGAATTTTGATCTTGCCTATAAAATTCCAGGCCACCATTAACATATTTTCTCGTACGTCGGAAAAACTATACAGCGTACACGTCTTAGGATTTTCCGTAAAATTTCATGTTGGTGCTTTTAGAGAGAGAGAGAGAGAGAGAGAGAGAGAGAGAGAGAGAGAGAGAGAGAGTCTGCAAGGACGGGCCAGCCAATATCATGTGTACAAACTTCCGTCCTTGTGAACTGCTCTTCCTCAACAAGCTAAACAACCATCACGCTTGTTACACCTTAAGCTTCGCTCCCTTGCCGGTGTTTGGCCCTATATAATGAGAACGGGCTGGTTTACCCGAGACCTGAGTCTACATTGGAGCTCTGAGGTAAAAAGTCGCCTTTGAGCTCTGAGGGAGGGAGGATCGACTAGATATTGGCTCTCCAGACTCAAAAAAACCAAGATATGAGTAAGCACTGCTGGTAATCGGAGTTTGACGATGACCCAATCAGGTCGTTGCCACGACTCAACGCTAGTAAAGAGTTTGCTTGGCTGACAACAGACAGACATTCAGGTCGTGCTGGAGGTGACCCCGAATGGTGTAACCGAGATTAAGAAGACCAGTTAAATCCATCATAATAAAATCCCCAATGTTACGGCCGTAATGACCACTGTAGTCGACGGCCAGTAAAAACTAAAGAAGTTTCTACCAGGGTGTCGCATCACTGGTGTGTTGTGGACCTGAGCAGCCAACTGAGTACTAAAACGTTATTTTCTAGTCTGGTATCACTCTCATTATGTCGGGCCTTACTCCTATGTGGTGTTGTGTTTAATGTTGAGTTTTGGCCCCAGTTCTATATCGGGTGTTGTACTGTTAGTTATATTTACCGAGTTAACATGTTAAGTTCGTAACCATTCTTGGGTCACGGTTTGTTAGTCTATAAATCATTGTTTAAGTTAATAATAATTACTTTTATGTTTTTCTTCTTTCTTGAGTCGCCTTCTCGGTGTTATGATAACTTACTCTGGTGCTGCCATGATAATCTCACCTAACCTGAATCGGCAGCCAACTAAATTGGTTGGTTTACTCTTTACTTCACAAGTCTAACGCTCAACTGAAAGCATTTTCGGAATAAGTCAGCAGAACTTGTTTGGTTTAATATACTTTGTTGGGGTATTTGGTATTATTTTTAATGAAATCAATCCCTTGACGATTCTGGCTTCAAAATAACTTCACAAATGACTCCAGGCCGTAACGCTTTACACGAGAAACACAAACTCTAAAACCTTGACACACAATAAACTACAAATTCTGAAAAACCTTGCAGGAAAAAAACCTATTCATAAAAGCTTGCATAAAAAAATTCCAAATGTTAAAAACCTTACCTAAAAAAGCCAGAAAAATTAAAAACCTCCAATCATAGGAAAAAATGGCATCTAAAATTGCATAAAAAAATAATATCCTCATCTTGTTGCGAAAAAAACTACAAAATCTTTATGTAAAAAAGAACAAAAACATAACCCTAAAAATTCTTTAAAAAAAACTATACATGAACAAAAACCTTACAGAAAAAAACCTAAAATTCATAAAAGCCTCAACACCAAAGACGAAAAAAACCCAACATTCTAAAATCCTACAAAAGGACCCCTGAGGAAAATACCCCAACCCCAGGACCCCAGAGGAAAATACCCCAAACCCCAGGACCCCAGAGGAAAATACCCCAAACCCCACGACCCGAGGAAAATACCCCAAACCCCAGGACCCCAGAGGAAAATACCCCAAACCCCAGAACAGGAAAAATACAAAACTGACCAGGAAAATACCCCCAAACCCCGACCCAGAGGAAAATACCCACAACCCAGGACCCGAGAAAATACCCCCAAACCCCAGGACTAGAGTAAAAATACTAACCCCAGGATCCCAGAGGAAAATACCCCAAACCCCAGGACCCCAGAAAATACCCCAAACCCCAGGACCCCTGAGGAAAATACCCCAACCCCAGGACCCCAGAGGAAAATACCCCAAACCCCAGGACCCCAGAGGAAAATACCCCAAACCCCACGACCCGAGGAAAATACCCCAAACCCCAGGACCCCAGAGGAAAATACCCCAAACCCCAGGAACCCAGAGGAAAATACCCCAAACCCCACGACCCGAGGAAAATACCCCAAACCCCAGGACCCCAGAGGAAAATACCCCAAAACCCAGGACCCCAGAGGAAGAAAATACCCCCAAACCCCAGGCCCAGGAAAATACACAAACCCAGGACCTCAGAGAAAATACCCCAAACCCCAGGACCCCAGAGGGAAAAGCCTTTAAACCCAGTTTAAGAGGAAAAATACTTCCCCCCCAAACCCCAGGACCCCAGAGGAAAATACCCCGAACCCCAGGACCCCAGAGGAAAATACCCCAAGCCTTTAGGGACTGAGAAAAATACCCCCCAAACCCGGGACCCCAGAGCAAAATACCCCAAACCCAGGACCCCAGAGGAAAATACCCCAAACCCCAGGAACCCAGAGGAAAATACCCCAAACCCCACGACCCGAGGAAAATACCCCAAACCCCAGGACCCCAGAGGAAAATACCCCAAACCCCAGGACCCCAGAGGAAAATACCCCAAACCCCAGGACCCTAGAGGAAGTAAACACGGGAATAATACACCAATAATTCGAGTCTTTCACCTGTCCATGTTTTAGTACGAACAGGTAAAGAGCCATTCTGGAATAAGGTCTCTTGTACGATGACCCCATAACCGTCAAGGACCACTGTGATGCCTCCTTCTGTAGGATCTATGGGTACAGGAGGAGGAGGAGGTAGTGTGGTGGAGAGGGGGAGGACGAACGAGGGGGGGGGGGAGAATAATAAAGGGTGGAAGGGAAGGAGGACACGGTGATGGTGAAGGAAAGAGCGAGTAAAGGGGAGGAGAGATGGGAAGGAGCAGGAGTGAGGGGGAATAGTGAGGAGAAGGAGGAATTGGGGGGGGGGATAAGAAGGAGGAAAGATGGTGAAGAAGGAGGAGGAGGGATTTTAGGGTTAATAAGAGGAGGTGTTAAGTTGGGTGTGTGTGTGTGTGAATGCTAATAGTTCTCCTGGATATTGTCTAGGTTAAGCGAGATATCAGAATCACCACCAACATTACCACCACTACAACCATCACCACCACAAGAACTACCACCACTACCAGCACCACTACAACAACTACTACCCCCACCATTACAACAACTACCACCACCAACACCACCACCACCACTACAACTACAACCATCTCCGCCACTACAACAACTACAACCACCACTACCACCACTACAACAACTACCACCATCAGGGCCACCACGAGCCTCAGGAAAAAAACCGAGAGATCAATCAGATTATGGCGTCACTGTAATGTTGTTACTGGAGTCTAGAGGCGCAGTAAAGGCTCCCCGTCTCCCCGCCCATGTTACTTTAAAGATGGCTTGCTAGTTTAAGAGGTAGAGGTAGGGGGGAGGGGTGAGGGAGTAGGGTGAGGGAGGGAGTAGGGAGTGAGAGAGGTGGCGAGAGAAAGGTAAGAAGTAAGGGAGAGGGTAAGGGAGAGTTTAGAGGCAAGGGGTGAGGGAGAGGTAAGAGGTAGGGGGTGAGGGAGAGGTTAGAGGTAGGTAGCGGTTAGAGGTTGGGGTGAGGGAGAGGTAAGAGGTAGGGGGTGAGGGAGAGGTAAGATGTAGGGGTGAGGGAGAGGTTAGAGGTAGGGGGGGTGAGGGAGAGGTAGGGGGTGAGGGAGAGGTAAGAGGTAGGGGTGAGGGAGAGGTTAGAGGTAAGGGGTGAGGGACCTGATTAAGAGAGAGGGAAGGGAGACGTTTAAGGGAAAGGTGGGAGGTGTGGGGGGGGGGGTTAGGGGACTAAGGGAGAACATGTGGCACCTATTGGCACCTCAAGAAGAACATATCAAGAACAAGGAGAACAGAACAGCGAGAATATGTGGCACCTGTTGGCACCTCAAGAAGAACACATCAAGAACAAGGAGAACAGGTCAGCGAGAATATGTGGCACCTGTTGCCACCTCAAGAAGAACATATCAAGAACAAGGAGAACAGAACAGCGAGAATATGTGGCACCTGTTGCCACCTCAAGAAGAACATATCAAGAACAAGGAGAACAGGTCAGCGAGAATATGTGGCACCTGTTGGCACCTCAAGAAGAACATATCAAGAACAAGGAGAACAGAACAGCAAGAATATGTGGCACCTGTTGGCACCTCAAGAAGAACATATCAAGAACAAGGAGAACAGAACAGCGAGAATATGTGGCACCTGTTGCCACCTCAAGAAGAACATATCAAGAACAAGGAGAACAGAACAGCGAGAATATGTGGCACCTGTTGCCACCTCAAGAAGAACATATCAAGAACAAGGAGAACAGAACAGCGAGAATATGTGGCACCTGTTGCCACCTCAAGAAGAACATATCAAGAACAGGGGGAACAGAACAGCAAGAATATGTGGCACCTGTTGCCACCTCAAGAAGAACATATCAAGAACAAGGAGAACAGAACAGCAAGAATATGTGGCACCTGTTGCCACCTCAAGAAGAACATATCAAGAACAAGGAGAACAGAACAGCGAGAATATGTGGCACCTGTTGCCACCTCAAGAAGAACATATCAAGAACAAGGAGAACAGAACAGCGAGAATATGTGGCACCTGTTGCCACCTCAAGAAGAACATATCAAGAACAGGGGGAACAGAACAGCAAGAATATGTGGCACCTGTTGGCGAACCTTCAAGAGTAGAACATAAACTGAGGTACAAACGACTCCGCCTCACGCCCTCGCCTGCGCCTCCTTCCCGCCCTAATCCCTGAGCCCCACACGTCTTGCCGGGTACTGTGCAGACAAGAGCCTTCTGCTGCGTGTGCTGGTGGCTCCCTACACGTCAGGATGGTCTTCTGTGTGACGTTAACAGTCCTAAACACGTCAGGGATCTCTTCGTCAGGTAAATATGGCCCTTAAATACGTCAGGGACCTCTTCGTCAGGTAAATATGGCCCTTAAATACGTCAGGGACCTCTTTGTATGGTTAATATGGCCCTTAAATACGTCAGGGACCTCTTTGTAAGGATAATATGGCCCTTAATTACGGCAAGGACCTCTTTGTAAGATTAATATGGCCCTTAAATACGCCAAGGACCTCTTTGTTACGTTAATGGGGGCTTTAAGGACCCTGTTAAAGTCACGTGGAGGACCCTGACGTGTTTACACAAGTTAGGGTCAGTGTTCGTAAACTATGCCGTAACACATGTAAACAATAACAATATGGACGAAAACAATGACGCAACGCAAGTAATCAGTGACATCATAGACGCAGATAGTGACGTCAAACAACAAAAACTTAAAGCTCAGACAATGACGCAACGCAACCAGGACGTAAACATAGCCGCCAGGGATGCAGACAATCACATGGGAGAAGCAGACAGTAACAAACAAGCCTGCAGACAACGAAGCGTAAATCAGGGGAGGGGGAGGAAGGATGATAAAGAGGAGGGAGGAGAGAGAGAGGGAGGGTGAATATATCTTCACCTGCAGCGTGTAATTAAAAAGAAGAAATGTATGATTTATGGGCGAGCTGTGAGGAGCTTATGATGGCCCTCTGTCTCTATTATTGTTCTCTCTCTCTCTCTCTCTCTCTCTCTCTCTCTCTCTCTCTCTTGTTGTCGTTGAAAAGTTTATATTGGTCTCTATTATTACTCTCTCTCTCTCTCTCTCTCTCTTATTGTCTTTGAAAAAGTTTATATTATTATTATCATCATCAGTCATTAAGTGAAATCATAATTATCGCCCAACTCTCAACACAATTAAAGAATTTATCACTATTTTCTCGTATCGTATTAAGTCAGAAAAATAACACGTATCATAAAAAAAACCTAAAGGTACAATAAAAATAAAATCACGTAAAACTTCCCGAGTCTCTGATTCCGGTGTTCTGACGGAGCCCAAAGAATTATCGTAACGACATCATTGCCAATCAGAAGTTCTACCAACAACATGATAATCCAATTCCCTAACTTGCTGGTGCCTATAAGGGACGTGGTAACACTGTCTTTCTCAGCTTGGTATCTCCTTAATGATGGTCTTTGTCTCTCTGTCTGTCTGTTTGTCTGTCTGTCTCTCTGATTTCTGTCTTTGAGATAATGAAATATGTGAAATGACAATACTTAATACATCTAATACACATAACACCTGGTTTACCTGACACACCTGATCAATACACACGACACACCTGATCAATACACACGACACACCTGATCAATACACACGACACACCTGATCAATACACACGACACACCTGATCAATACACACGACACACCTGCCCAACGAGATATAAGTAAATACATTCATAATTATATTCTATACCATAAATTTTACGTTAATTTTTATCACCTGTTTCACTATACAGGAGATTTATATACCCATTCACTCTCTACCATGGCATGTACTGTATACTCGTAACTATATAAGGGTATAAGTATACAAGTGTATAAGTGTATAACTATATAAATTCATAACTATATAAGTATGTGTATAATTATATAACACTATACAGTATATTAGTCACACTTGGGCCATAATAAATTTCCTCTTCACCCCAAGATCTTCTTCTCCTCCTTCACTCCTCCTCCGACCTCCTTCCGTCTTTCCGTCCGTCCGTCACCAATTAATCTAATCACTCCTTCCTGGTGACGAATATCCGGGTCGAGTCCACTGGCAGTACACCAGCAGACTCATTAAGGTCGGAACGTTCAGACCAAGGACATCCGACGCTCGCCCCTATCGCAGTGTGTGGCTTAGCACTACGTACCCCCCTTGACTAATGATCTCTGAAATTGATTGCTTAAAAAGAAAGGAGATTGATAAAGGACGTTGTTGAGGAAGTTTGTCAAGAGAGTCCTTCAGTCTTGTCCTGATGGAGGAAAATGGTATCCTGCACAATATCCTACGGCAGAGGATGACACGTGACGCAACTACGCCATCCTATTTTTCCCCTTTTAATAGAGGAAACATGACGTCACCAATGTGTATGTGGGGTTGATACATGACGTCACCAATGTGTACAACGTCACTAAATTCTATGACGTTACAGGTCAGCTTACTAAACACCATACTCTTACTTTTGACCCAAACATGACCTCCTCCCTCCACAACTTGACCACCACATTCCCCCTCCAACCTCCACCTCCCATAAGCATTCCTCCCAGCATAACCAACTTCTTCACCCTCTTCTAACCTCCCCTCCCACCTCCTCTAACCTTCCACCAACCTCCCCTCCCTCCCATAAACTTTCCTACCAACATAACCTCCTTCTCCTCCCTCCTCTAACCTCCCCTCCCCCCACCTCCTCAAACCTTCTTCCCAACCTCCCTCCCCCCTCCTCTAACCTCCCCTCCCCCCACCTCCTC